GGGACCCGCTCGGCGCCCACTCTGTGCTCTCTTGAAACCCATCCGGGACCCGCTCGGTGCCCACTCGGGACTCATCTGGTACCCACTCGGTGCTCGCTCGAGACCCACTTGGAACTCGCTCGGTACCCAGTCGGTGCTCGCTCGAGACCCACTCGGAACTCATCCCGTACCCCTCGGTGCCCACTCGTGTCCTGCTGCTCCCATCCCGCCGCGGACACTGCTGGCCTGGGAGTTTCCCCGCGCCACCCGGGGTGTCCCCGGCATACGCTGTATGCTCCGTGCCTGCCCCGGCGCCTTGTCCTGGAGGGATAAGGTGTTTTCCTGGACAGCGGCTGTTATCCCGAGAATTCTCGCGCTGGAGGGGAGCAGCTCGCTGTGTCCCTGGTTTGGAGCTTCCCGAGGAATGCTGAGTGTTCCCGAGTCCTCGGAGTAACGCTGTGCAGGTGGGTGATGCTGTGGTGAGTGCTGAATGTCTCTCCACAACTTTCAGATGGAATTTAGGAATGTGCTACTGGAGCTGTGGGTGCTGTAGTGTCCTTTATTCCCAGTCTCTCCACTGCTTTCTTCTGTTCCCAGCAGTCACAGCTCCCAAGGACTGAGTGGCTCCAATGGAAACCTGTTGCTGTGTCTCTGTTTTATGGCTGGTTTAGTGCTAAAGTCCTACTTAGAGGTGGTTTTGGGGTGGCAGTGCGTTCTGCTGCTCAGATGAGCTGGGGAAAGATCTGCTTAGCCTTGATAATCCATTAAAGACTGAAGAGGTATTTTTGAGTGCTGAACAACTCGATTTCCCTAGGATTTGTACTCCCTTTTTGTGAGGAAGTGCAGCTGGAAAGAGTATTTTAAGTCAGTAGTGTCCCAGTCATGTTGTTGGAGTGTTTTGAGCCCATGGAGACTAGTGGGAAGAAGCAGGATGAGAAATCTCTACTTTATGAAATGTTTTGCTCTGCCCCCAGGAGGACTTGTAAATCAGACCAGGAACAGAGTCCCGGAAGAGGCTGGAACAGCTCCAATCCAGCCAGAGCTTGAAAATGTGCCCCATTTCCCTGAAGGACAATCCCAGTCATCAGGGCTGTTTGGGACAACTTGAATGTCTTTCAGCCTCTCTTTGGAGTGCCTTTCCATTCCAGGCAATGCCTTTTGCTTCCTGATGCCTGGGAGTAGGCTGCCTCTGCTTGGTGAGCTCCTTCTGTTTGGAATCCTGGACTGGCAAACTCCTAAGGAACCTCAGGCAGCACCAGGGAGCTGTTTGGCTGTGGTTTGCCCTAATTTGCTGTATACTGCTGGTTTTGATCCTGGCTGAGATCCTGTGCAGGAAACATGGGAGATATTCATGTGAGCCTGAAGGTTCTTTGTTTGGGTTTGAGTGTCTCTGGCTTTGCTTTTAAGCATTTTCTTGCTGACGTGTGGACAAGAATAGAATGTCCAAAGCTCTTGCACTGTTGCAATATCCATTCTGCTGCACAAAGCATTTCAGGTTCATTAGGTGATGATCTTCCATAACCTTGGTCCGGCCTGATGATAGAATCATGGAATCCCTGACTGGTTTGGGTTGAAAGGAACCTTAAGGGTCATCCACTTCCAACTCCTGCCATGGACAGGGACACCTTCCACTAGCCCAGGTTGCTTCAAGCACCATCCAGTCTGAACTCAGCCACTTTCAGGGATGGAGCGGCTGCAGCTTTTCTGGGCAACCTGTGCCAGTGCCTCAGCACCTTCTCAGGGAGGAATTTCATCCTAATATCCAATCTAAACCTTTTCTCTTGCAGTGTGAAATCATTCTTCCTTATCCTGGCACTCCAGGCCCTTATAAATAGTCCTTCTCCATCCTTCTTGGAGCCGCTGGAAGGCCACAATGAGATCACCCCAAAGCCTTTTCCTCTCCAGGCTGAACAATCCCAACACTCTTAGCCTTTCCCCACAGCAGAGCTGCTCCATCCCTCTGATCACCTTGGTACCTCCTCTGGACTAAGCTCCATGTCCTTCCTGTGCTGAGGATCTCAGAGCTGGATGCAGTATTCCAGGTCAGATCTCACCAGAGCAGAGCAGAGGGGCAGAATCACTCCTCAACTGCTGTCCGTGCTTTGGGATTGATCCCAGCACACAGGTGTTTTCCACATTTCCAGCGCATGTCCAGCCTCTGACCTACCAGCACCCCAAAATCCTTCTCCCCAGGACTGCTATAGTTATTCTCTGTACAAACCACCCACTGTTCTAATCTTTTGTTCTCTTTTTCTTAATGCAAAAGTGCCAGAAATGTGATAAAAATGGATATGGTAAAAAATGGATGTGCTGCTCTGCAGGATAAATATCCTCAGTGGATGCTTACACAAAGCCAGGAGGAAGCTGTGGAGGGTAAAAAGGTAGGTCATGGCAAGAATAACTGAGTTTAGATGCACTGCTCACTCTGGAATGGGCTGTACCACCGGCAAGGGCTGGAAATTCCTCATCCGTGTAATTTGAGAGCTCCAAAGGGAATGACCTGAGTTGTAGCCTGGCAGGGGAGTTGCTTTCTGTAAGGTCCTTCCTGCATTTGCACATATTCAATATTCCAGGAGGTTTTGCAGCTCAGAGGTGTCACAAGAATTAGTTGTTCATCAGTTTTTTCATGTCCCAAGAATGTTAATGTGTCCTTGGATTTTTTTGTCCCCTGCATATACGAGTTCAGTACAGAATTCCCCACTAGAAGAGAACCTCCCTCTAACATCTGAGACAGCTTTAACCATTGCAAAGTTAATTAATGAGAGAACAAGCAGAGGACATAGTTCAGCAGTTTTCCTTCTTCAGAGTGGGACTAAATAAGTAGCTTATTAAAAATGTGTGGGAAAACCATCAGGAATTTCACTTGTTTGAGTGCTCAGAGTTAACAGAGAGAAATTGGGGCAGGAAATGTTTGGATCAAGCAGTGTGTCAGCCTGGCTGGGATGGGTGTCTGTGCTGAGGAGAGGTATCCAGACCTTTCCCAAATGTTGTTTGGCAGAAGCCTGTTATCCAGAGGAGTGTTTTGGAGGATGGGCTGCCATTCCTGGAATTCTGTGGCTCTGTTGTGTACAGCTATGAAGCAAGTGACTGTTCCCTTCTCTCAGAAGATATCAGGTAAAACCTCCTACTCCGTTTCTACTTCTTTTTGAGTGTTTTCTTTTTGGAAGGGACTTGGCTCTTGGGAATAGTTTCCCATTTGCTCTTTTTTTGATGGGAGATGCCATTGCTGCACCTTGCAAACCCTCTAAGGAGAAGCAGTGAAGGCTCTGATGCAGGTTCTTTGCCTTTCACAGTGTGGATAATTCCATGAGCTTCAGTGACTTCAAGAAGTAGGAGCTGTAAGCAACCAAGCACATGTGTGAATTCCTTACTGGGGACTCTTTGACAGAAGGGAGTAAATTCCTGGGGCAAATCCATTATGATTTCCCTTTTTTTTTTTTTTTTTATTGCATAGCAAAGCTCATGTTCCTGGGGATAAAATTATATACAAAACTTCCCAGTGCTGTGGGGGGAATCAAGAACATTATTGCAAGGTAATTTGGGATAAATGAAGAACAATGTTTGAGGGAATGTGGGATAAATAAAGAACATTTTTTTCCAGGGAGTATGAACTATCTCTCAGTTTTGTATCTGGCTGTCCTTGAGCCTCATGGGCTGGGTTTGTGTGAGTGGGTAGGCAAGGCTCTGTTTCCCTGTACTGCTGCGGGGGAAGAGGTGGAGAACTTGGAGTCCAGTTGAGCCAGAGAAGGAGGGAGGGGTGGGGGGGAAGGTGTTTTAAGATTTAGTTTATTTTCCATTATCCTGCTCTGATTTGGTAATAAAAGTTAAGCTGATTTCAACAAGTCTGTTCTGCCCATGATGGTAATTGGTGAGTGATCAATCCTTGTCCTTCTCTCAACCCACAACCTGAAGTTATTTATAAATAATATCCTGTTTGCAATCAGATTTGCTGAGTTTTGAAGCATGTCTTTGTGGACCAGCAGGAGTTTCACCTCCTTGTGGTCTTGGTTTTAACATGGATTCTGTGTCCTGCATGTGTGTAAGGAGCAATGCACTGAGTGTGATTCTCTTCTTCAGCTTCCTGTAAGATGACTTAAGGTTGGTATTTTAAATACTGCTAAAATAGATACACGTGAGGGATATCTGTTTGTTTCCAGGCAGAGTTTACCCCATGGGGCTGCTGTTGGATTTGATATTGAGTGGCCACCATCATACACCAAAGGGAAAATGGCCAAAACTGCTGTGATCCAGGTCTGTGTCGCTGAGGACAAGTGTTACTTATTTCACATCTCTTCAATGGCAGGTACTGTGCTGTCTCCCTTCTTATTTAGGGCATGAACTGCCCTTTGTGTCTTGTTTGTGAAGTTTGAACTTCAGCCTTGAGCAATGGCTGATAAATCCACTATATTGGATAGTAAAAATCCATCCTTTCTCTCCCCTTTCCCCCCTATAACCAAGGGATTTGTTCTTGCAATTCTGATATGTCTTATCCCAAGTCTTGCCCTGTGTGTTGGAGGACTGTGTTGGGTTCTGAACAAAGAATCTTCCTTGAGGATTATTTCTCTCTCTGGGAGAGATGGTTTTATTCCATATTATCTTTACAAATTTAACTCCTTTCTCCTATAATGAGCTTTCTGTTCAGTGCCAAAATAAGCAATGAACCTAAATGGAGCAGGCTGGGAGTGTATCTTTTAATCTGATTTTTACAAAACCGCTCCAAAATTCTGTCTGTTGTGCTGTTTGTCCCCAATACCTGCATCTTGTGCCCTCAGTTTTGGGCAAGAACACAGGATAACCTGGTGTGATGCAGCTGTGGGGAAAGAAGAGGTTGTGCTCAGCAGAGTCTGAATTCGTTATGGATGTGAATAAAAGCTTCCAAATAGGGAAAACAGGAATGGGGGAAGGAGACTGCAGTTTTATAACCTTTGGTTTCAGATGTGAGATTGAAACTATGCCTGTGAGAGGTTTCTGATTTCCCTGGGGGACACACGCTGAGGTATAATAGCAATAATTTTAATGTTGGTGTTCAATCCTTTGTCATTTAGAGCAAATGGGGTGGAAAATTTAATTGCTGGAGGCCATTCAGTCAGGGAGGCACAAGAGCACAAAAGAGAGAGATGTGAGGAGAGGAAGCTGAGTGAGGAAGAGCCATAAAGAGCTGAAATGCTTTCGAGTCTAGAAGGGAAGATGTTTGTGTGTCGCTGCTGCTTTCATCCATGTTACATGCTCTGTGGAGGTTTCTCCATGTTTTCTTATGGCTGAAGGTGCTTTGGCAATGTTGTACTTTGTCTGCATCTTGCAGCACCAATTTTAGGCTCTTTTTACCCATTATTTTCTAATTATTTGGTTTGAACCTGCAATTTCCCAGACCCCAAAACATGACTGTGGGTGTAGCTGCAGCTGTGCCTGCACAGTGTCAGGGGCAGCCAAGAAAGGGCAGAGATGGGTGTGTAAAAATAAAATCAGTGATGCAAAGTGAGTATTGAAGGATATAAATACACATTACACTACTGAAAAGGTGAAATTTCCAATCAGAACCAAGGCAGATGCTAAGTGCTGTGTGTTTGTGCAGTGCTGGAGACTGACTCCAGCTGTGAAGTCCTCAAGGTATGTATTTAAATTAGATGCTCTGATTTTAAATAGGAACAAACGGGG